ACACACACACACACACACACACACACACACACATTTCATCTCTTTAGTAGCTTCACTGACATGCATATGTAGACCTCAGAAAGAATTCATGACAAGCAAAGCATTGAGTAATGATTTATGTGTAAATGTATGATTAATATCCTGTCTTTTAAGGGTACATTTAAACCTTTCTTACAAACTTCTCACATTTAAACTGCAGTGTTCTAGGATTCCTTTTAAGATGTAGTCATGCCTCAAAGCCCAAAGGAGTTAATTTGAACGTACGGTCTGTGTTTGAACATCACAGATCTGTCAGAGCCTCTATACGTTCAGACAGTTAAGCCCATTTCAGTAGAATAGTATAACGGCTCTTCAGAAGCCTTTTTCAACAGTTTTAACAGTAGGTCACTAATCATAGAACCTTGTTGAGTCGCTCTTAGTACCGCACATTTTCAGCTTTTCTACCTTTCTAATGTCTGTGTAATTTATTACAGGCCTTTTTTAAAATATAGACCGAACAGAAAAAATAAAACAATTCACATGGCTTCAAGTAAAAAAAAATTTATGTGAGTTTATCGTGTTTTTATAAAACACTGCTTCAGTGCAGTTGAATTTTTGCTTTTCACATTAACATCAGCAGGTTCTATCCCTATATATGAACTTTTTTGTTTTGGGGTTCTCAAGGCTCTATATTCCACTGGCGAAGGATTGACAGGCTAATTTAAAATGTTTTCAATTGCAGGAATGTTTAATAGGAGAAGTGACAGCGTTTTTTTTTTCTGCCTGTGTCTGGAGGTTTGATACAACAGCACGCATTAACAATGTGTAGCTGACACTTATCTGTGTTAGAGAACACAGTTTCTGCATTTTCAAATATACAATATACAAACCACATAAAATGTAATTAAAAGCCAGTGTCTCTGACATTGATATTGTGACCGAAATTAGATATTGTTCAAGCCTGTCGAGTCAAATCAGAGTATTTTTTTATTGTTTTTATGAGACTGTCTCAATTTTCTAGGTGTTCAATGATCTGTTTATAGTGATTTCAGACTCTAAGAGAGTTTATTGAACCTGCATGCCAGAATCACTCTCTGATTCAATCTGCTGTGATTAAACAATCCAGTTCATGACAATTAAATAGATTCCAAGAGCTGAATAGGATGCAGAACTGTTAAACTCTGCGAAAGATTCAGTTTGAGCATATTTTGGCATGATTTTTATGTTATAACAAATGTAAAGATTGTGTCTTTATGTTTTGAATCATGACTTGTCATTTAGCAGTCTGTTTAATTCAGTAGTTTTTAATGGGCAGCTAAATGAAATCACAGCGGTGCAATGAGAATCTGTCATTTCAACTCACTTTTGGACCCAGGTTCATTAATCAAGGAGACATTGGAGATGATCAGACTAAATTTTCAGTTCATGATGGACCCCTACCTGGAATCTAAGTGGTACTTTTACATTATTCTGCTAGAACACACAGAGAAAATATTTTATGTCAAGAGATGCTTTGGTTGCTGCTAGTGGAAGGGAATGGATGGTTTCTGAAATAACATGTAAATGAGAGCTCCATTAGCTTTATTTGTGAGGCCTTTGTATGATTTTATGCCTGAACTGTTTGACCGAAGTGACCTAGTTTATTAGCCCTTAATTGACTGTCTTTTTCTTCCTGTTTCCACAGAAACCTGTTAGATCGAGACACGTTCTCCAAGTCTGATCCTTGTAAGTACTTCTCTTTTTACATAACTGAAGCACTTGTTTTTGAACCTAAAATCTCATTAATATCATTTTTTTACACATTCAAAAACTTTGCCTGCAATTTGTCTACTCTGCTATTTCTCCAAGTTGCCTAAAACACATGCATAGAATTTGCATCACAATGTGACAGCTTTTCCTCACTATCAACAGAAATGCAGAAGCGCTTAATATATGCAGAGCATGAGCTTGGCCCCCTGAATACAAATGCTTCATGAGTCATGGGGACATTCAGACCTGTGTACAGTAAATCTCTTGCTGAAGACAAGATTATGAAATAGAGAGCAATGGGTCAAATAGTCTGGCCACCTTTGCAATTCTAATCTTTGCAAGAAGAACATTTATTGCTTAGACATTGCTCTTTCATCAAAGAAACTTAATGTTTAACATTATTAAATTCTTAGAATTCTGTTAATCTTCATTTAACCCTCATGCTCCACAATCCTTAGTAAAAAAAGTAATATATTTAAAATACATTTGTTTCATACTAAGTATAGTTCAAATCACTTGAGACTTACTGATATAAAAATTATAATTAAACTTCATTTGGAGAGCTACTTAATATTATTTCTTAATATTTCTTAAGCTTAAAATGCGTTTTTAATACAGCTATTAATAAAGATTATATGATCATCTAATAATAGCGGTCTTTAAATGCAAGATATTTAAATTGTACCCGAAGTATACTTGCAATAGTTCCCCTTTAGCACAATCAAATATACTTCAGTATACCTTTAGTTTGACTTCAGCACTATTTCCGCACAATTAAAGTGCATTAAATACAAAATTAGTTGTTCCAATTTAGCAGACCGTAAGTATACCAGTTTAGTATACTAAAAGTACAATTACAGGGTATTTTTTACTATGTACTTAAATATGTAAATGTATTTGTAGTATACTTGGCATAAAATAAATTTCAAATACATTTTAGTATATTTATTTTTCACTAGGGGTTGTATGTGTAAAACTAATAACTTTCGAATTAACCTTTTTATTTTCCTTTCAAGCATTTTTATATTCCATTGACCCAATAAAAACCTAGTTGGTAGATATTGACTCTTTAAACTTATGGTGAATCCTAAAGCAAGTATGAACTTTTGGCTCCGAAATACTCACAGCAAAGTTATTTTCCATTATTTGTTTAGGGGTAAAAAGAAGTTTGATATACGCAAGCAGTGCTTTACTGTTAGCGAACATCCTGATGCTGCCCGCACTGCTGAGAGTGGCCTTTAGATGAATATGTAATTATGTGCTGCACTTCCCTCACAATAACAAAATAAACACAACAAAAATTACAGCGGAGAGAAAACAGCAGTTAAGAAAGCATCTTATCATAATGATGTATAAAATGCTTTATTCAAGCAGCTTTACAGTACTAAAGTGTCAGTGTCGCTTTCAGTTAGAATTACTGTATAACTTGACTTATGAAGCAGCTCTCCAGTGTGAAGCTAGGTAATGTGTAATCTTTTTAATGGTGAATGCAAGGTATTAAAAATGTTTTTTAAAGAGATAATGTTGTGAATAAAATAGTTCTCCCAAAAATAAATAGTGTTATCACTTATCTTTATTTTGTTCCATATCTACAGACTAACAAAAGATGTTGGGCAAAATGATGTGTCAGTCAGTTAATTTTTCAAACAGTTAATTAAATGGTGAATGAGAATGTCTTTCTGTCTGTCATTCCATTTTGTGTGCCAAATATATTTATTTATATGGTAAAAAATAATTGTATAATAGTAATGTAATTGTTTGACATTTTCAAAAGCTGAAGTGATCGCCTTGTTTTATTATTAGTTAACTCAATATTTTAACTAATTGCAAAAGCTGAATGAATCAAAGCCTAAAACTGAATCAAAGTCTACTGATTAATCAGTGAAATAATCAACGATTAGTCGATTAATCATTCTAATAATCATTAGATTATTAATTATCAAAATAATCATTTGTTGCAGCCCTGAATTGTATAAAATAATTAAAAAATATTGTAAAAGCCAAATAATTTGGCTTTGGAAGAATTTAATGAGAAATATTGTGATTTCTTCCAAAATTCTAGACACAAATTATAGGAAATTATAAAGTCTATTTCACAGGAGAAAAATGTAAACAGGAAACTCCATTAATTATCCATTTAATTTCTACTTAGCTTTTCATTGTTCAGCCTTTCTTCAGAGATGCATCTACAGTAACTGCAACATAAAAGCTTTTTCTTAAAAATGAAATAGAGGCTGATTTCTCTCTCTCTCATCTTCTCAGTGTGTGTTCTGTACACTCAGGGAGTGGAGTCTAAGCAGTGGCGTGAGGTAAGTGTCCACGTTCGGGAACAAACCTACAATCAGCTCTGACAGAGACTCCCTCATTTGCCCTAATCAGCTCTGCATATCCTCTCTGTCTCTCCGCCCCCTTCACTCTCTCCGCAGCCCTCTGGTGCCCATCACTGCTCATTGATTCTCCTGTTGAATATTCATGAATCAGTCCCCATGGCCCAGAATGATTGACTGTTGAGATGATTGTACACTTTCCGTTAGCGATTAGCATTAAAGACGATCTGGCTCTAAAGTTACAGGCCAGTGCATTTGTAATGCTTCCCAGCTCACTGAATGTGATTTTTCACACTTAAAGGACACAGCCCTTGGATTTGCCAGGTCATTGCAATCAGCTGATAATCGGACATCCTCGGGCTATTATATCCATCACTGGGCTAGCAAAAAAGACCTTCATTATGAAAAATCGCATTGCGGTTCTCTTTTGCAAGGCTTGGTTTGTGTTTCAGACCCTTTTAATTGAATCACTTATTAGCGGGTGACAGTTGTTGAAGCAGGTGTTCTCAAGGCCAACATGAATGCATCAAAACGGTTAAAATGTCAGGATGTGCACATGAGGAGCTGTAACAACTTTTTGACCCAAAATAAAACCATACTGGTGTCGATCTTCCTCCTTCGCAGATGGTTTTGATGAAACACCTTTCTCCAAAGATAAAAGATGACAGCTTACATAACACTGAGCAGGTTGCTCACTCCAAAATTAGTTATGTAGACTCTTTCTCTATGCCTGTGCCCATGTAAGATGCCTCTTGTTTGGGTATAATACCAACCGCTGTGGAAAAGAGGCAGTCAAGCTGTAAGGGATTGATAAAGATGGAGTTTCCTTTGTGCATTTTTCTGTCTCAGCAGGAGATTTGGGAGTATGTGTGTATCTCTTTGTTACTAACACAGCATAAGCGCCTTACTTTGAGTGATTGTGTCCATGGTTTGGCTACTGTATCTTTTAAGTTTTTTATTATATTTTTTTCTATATTTAATTGTTTACACATTAATAAGCAACTAACCACAGCATTTTATGCATTAAAGTGATCTCACTATGGATAAGAGTGTTCTCTTAAATGTACAGTAAAGTTGCTGTAACAGTCTAGAGTAGCTTAATGCTTTGATCTAAACTGTATTTTTATTTTTTTTTGGTAGGCCAGGTATAGTTCTTTAGATGGATAGTTCAGCAAAAAAAAATGATATATATATATATAAAAAATAAATAAATAAATAAATAAAAAACAATAAAATCAAATCTTTATTTACATAATTTACCCTTCATGTTGTTCCAAAAACCTGTATGACTTGCTTTCTTCTGTGGAACATGAAAGAGGATATTTTGAGAAATGTCTCAATGTTTTACAGTGGAAGTCAGTAGTACCCAAAAATTGTTTGGTTGCCAACATTCTTCAAAATATCTTCTTTTATGCTAAAAAGAAGAAAGTCATTTAGGTTTGGAACAGCATGAGGAAGAGTAAATGATGACAGAATTTTATGAAGTTGAATATGGTGTTAAACATGAACATGAATGATATGCTTTAACCTCCATGCTCTCAGTTTCCTGCTTCCCAAATATGAGCTGCCTATGATTGCACAGATTAATGGACAGACGGAAAATGCATTAATGTCTTTTGGCTAAACAAAAAATCCAACTAATAGGAATATTTTTTGAGTGTCATTCCAATAAAAAAAATAATATACAATACCTTTAAGATCGTTTAACATGATTTGCAATTGTAAATATTTCAAATCTAAAGGCCTATTCACCAAGAACGATAACTTTAATGATGGTAATTGATAACACTGTTTATTTTAAGCTCGCTCTGCTGTAATGTTGCCTGCCTCATTAAATGCTCACGCTCTTTAAAGTTGGATGGATTCTGATTCACTGTCAATGTTTTTATTGGGCATCAGCTGGAAAAAACGTTTTGAAAGTGATTTCAACAATATTGCTCCAGTTTTTTTGTGGTAGTATTGTTATTGCTGTGCCACAGACTTCCCTATTCTAACAGAATTAAAATGAATATTAAAATGTTATAGTCATGGTTATCTTCCATGGTTATCTAGTGTGGGTGCTATAGTTATACTTGGTGTGAATGGGCCTTAACATAAAATCTAAAGCTATTCATGAAAAACTTCTAGAAATCTCAAATATCAGTGACTCACATAATAATTATTTTCACTTAGATCTTGAACAGTTTTTAATCGCAGTCAGTTTCAATTCAAGTCATTTTTCAATCAAAGTCATTGATTTGTTTATCCTATTTTGCATAAGATCATTTTTTCCTGTTCTGTGCATCATAATTCTGTTAAACTTTATTTATGCACCTGCTGGGATTTCACACTCTTGTCCTCATCACTGCTATTGCTATGGTGTGTTTTATCCTTCTCTTCTTTTCTGAATGTGACCTTGTGTTAATGCTCCCATAGGGTTTGTTTTGCACAGCTGTAGTCTGAACAACAGGTTTTTTCACTGTGCCTTGACTGCCTCTTTAACACTTAATGGGAGGTAAAGCTTTTTCAAAAGCAGTTTGGTGATTTAAGTTAAATGTTTTTCTTTGCATCTCCTCTCTCCGATGGGATTTCTGTGCAAAGGCAGTTTTCACAAAAGGGTTGGAAACCATATGTCATATATATGACAAACCATAAAAGGCTTTATATACAGCAGCAGGTCAACAGAATGATTTATAGCAGATGTAAAGTAAACTGTGAGGTCGTATTAGCAGTACTTAAAGCATTATGTTATGAATCCTAATGACTCTGTGTTCTTCTGTCACAGAGCTTTGCTTGAGAATGTTCAGTCATTCTTAGCCTTTGCAATTATAAATGTTTATGGCGCTAAAATATAAATTCATCCTAATTTTTACAGATTTAAGTGTTATTTGTGGTTGTAGGCTACGTGATTCGGAAATTGTCTTTTCATACGAAAGTTTATGTGTCTCTACAATACAGCTGAGAACATCAGACAGACATGCCTCAGGCTGTAACCATGTTACACTGACTGAATGTTTGCGAGTCAGTCTGTGGTGATACATTGTCTCTTTATCATTAACAAGAGCACTGTGGGATGGTCTTTACAGTATGTTTAAATCACCTTATCGTTCCTTTATCGCTCATAAGCCGTCTCCTTCATTTCTGCACGACCAGGGTGTTGTAACATCCTTCCGGTGATTCATTTATTTATGCATTTCTCATCTGCCCCATCTTGTTTAATTATTCATGGGAAACACTATTAGCTGAGGGAACCGACGGCAGAGCATCCTTCAAGAATACAGTGAAAGATGACAGTCGCCTCGCCTCGCCTCGCCTATCGTATTGTATCGTATATTAGCATTTTCCTCTCCTCTCCTCTCCTCGCCTATCGTATTGTATCGTATATTAGCATTTTCCTCTCCTCTCCTCTCCTCGCCTATCGTATTGTATCGTATATTAGCATTTTCCTCTCCTCTCCTCTCCTCGCCTATCGTATTGTATCGTATATTAGCATTTTCCTCTCCTCTCCTCTCCTCGCCTATCGTATTGTATCGTATATTAGCATTTTCCTCTCCTCTCCTCTCCTCTCCTCTCCTCTCCTCTCCCCTCCTAGCCGCTCCGCCTTTCCTTTTTTCCTTTTTTCCTTTCCTTTCCTTTCCTTTCCTTTTTTCCTTTCCTTTCCTTTCCTTTTTTCCTTTCCTTTCCTTTTTCCCTTTTTCCTTTCCTTTCCTTTCCTTTTTCCCTTTTTCCTTTCCCTTTTTCCTTTCTTCTTTTCCTTTCCTTTCCTTTTTCCCTTCCTCCCTTCTTCCCCTCCCTTCCTCTTTTCCTTTTTTCCTTTTTTCCTTTTTTCCTTTTTTCCTTTCTTCCTTTTTTCCTTTTTTCCTTTCCCTGTTTCCTTTCCTTGTTTCCTTTCTTCCTTTCCTTTCCTTTTTTCCTTTCCTTTTTTCCTTTCCTTTCTTCCTTTCCTTTCCTTTCTTCCTTTCCTTTCCTTTCTTCCTTTCCTTTCCTTTCTTCCTTTCCTTTCCTTTCTTCCTTTCCTTTCCTTTCTTCCTTTCCTTTCCTTTCTTCCTTTCCTTTCCTTTCTTCCTTTCCTTTCCTTTCTTCCTTTCCTTTCCTTTCTTCCTTTCCTTTCCTTTCTTCCTTTCCTTTCCTTTCTTCCTTTCCTTTCCTTTCTTCCTTTCCTTTCCTTTCTTCCTTTCCTTTCCTTTCTTCCTTTCCTTTCCTTTCTTCCTTTCCTTTCCTTTCTTCCTTTCCTTTCCTTTCTTCCTTTCCTTTCCTTTCTTCCTTTCCTTTCCTTTCTTCCTTTCCTTTCCTTTCTTCCTTTCCTTTCCTTTCTTCCTTTCCTTTCCTTTCTTCCTTTCCTTTCCTTTCTTCCTTTCCTTTCCTTTCTTCCTTTCCTTTCCTTTCTTCCTTTCCTTTCCTTTCTTCCTTTCCTTTCCTTTCTTCCTTTCCTTTCCTTTCTTCCTTTCCTTTCCTTTCTTCCTTTCCTTTCCTTTCTTCCTTTCCTTTCCTTTCTTCCTTTCCTTTCCTTTCTTCCTTTCCTTTCCTTTCTTCCTTTCCTTTCCTTTCTTCCTTTCCTTTCCTTTCTTCCTTTCCTTTCCTTTCTTCCTTTCCTTTCCTTTCTTCCTTTCCTTTCCTTTCTTCCTTTCCTTTCCTTTCTTCCTTTCCTTTCCTTTCTTCCTTTCCTTTCCTTTCTTCCTTTCCTTTCCTTTCTTCCTTTCCTTTCCTTTCTTCCTTTCCTTTCCTTTCTTCCTTTCCTTTCCTTTCTTCCTTTCCTTTCCTTTCTTCCTTTCCTTTCCTTTCTTCCTTTCCTTTCCTTTCTTCCTTTCCTTTCCTTTCTTCCTTTCCTTTCCTTTCTTCCTTTCCTTTCCTTTCTTCCTTTCCTTTCCTTTCTTCCTTTCCTTTCCTTTCTTCCTTTCCTTTCCTTTCTTCCTTTCCTTTCCTTTCTTCCTTTCCTTTCCTTTCTTCCTTTCCTTTCCTTTCTTCCTTTCCTTTCCTTTCTTCCTTTCCTTTCCTTTCTTCCTTTCCTTTCCTTTCTTCCTTTCCTTTCCTTTCTTCCTTTCCTTTCCTTTCTTCCTTTCCTTTCCTTTCTTCCTTTCCTTTCCTTTCTTCCTTTCCTTTCCTTTCTTCCTTTCCTTTCCTTTCTTCCTTTCCTTTCCTTTCTTCCTTTCCTTTCCTTTCTTCCTTTCCTTTCCTTTCTTCCTTTCCTTTCCTTTCTTCCTTTCCTTTCCTTTCTTCCTTTCCTTTCCTTTCTTCCTTTCCTTTCCTTTCTTCCTTTCCTTTCCTTTCTTCCTTTCCTTTCCTTTCTTCCTTTCCTTTCCTTTCTTCCTTTCCTTTCCTTTCTTCCTTTCCTTTCCTTTCTTCCTTTCCTTTCCTTTCTTCCTTTCCTTTCCTTTCTTCCTTTCCTTTCCTTTCTTCCTTTCCTTTCCTTTCTTCCTTTCCTTTCCTTTCTTCCTTTCCTTTCCTTTCTTCCTTTCCTTTCCTTTCTTCCTTTCCTTTCCTTTCTTCCTTTCCTTTCCTTTCTTCCTTTCCTTTCCTTTCTTCCTTTCCTTTCCTTTCTTCCTTTCCTTTCCTTTCTTCCTTTCCTTTCCTTTCTTCCTTTCCTTTCCTTTCTTCCTTTCCTTTCCTTTCTTCCTTTCCTTTCCTTTCTTCCTTTCCTTTCCTTTCTTCCTTTCCTTTCCTTTCTTCCTTTCCTTTCCTTTCTTCCTTTCCTTTCCTTTCTTCCTTTCCTTTCCTTTCTTCCTTTCCTTTCCTTTCTTCCTTTCCTTTCCTTTCTTCCTTTCCTTTCCTTTCTTCCTTTCCTTTCCTTTCTTCCTTTCCTTTCCTTTCTTCCTTTCCTTTCCTTTCTTCCTTTCCTTTCCTTTCTTCCTTTCCTTTCCTTTCTTCCTTTCCTTTCCTTTCTTCCTTTCCTTTCCTTTCTTCCTTTCCTTTCCTTTCTTCCTTTCCTTTCCTTTCTTCCTTTCCTTTCCTTTCTTCCTTTCCTTTCCTTTCTTCCTTTCCTTTCCTTTCTTCCTTTCCTTTCCTTTCTTCCTTTCCTTTCCTTTCTTCCTTTCCTTTCCTTTCTTCCTTTCCTTTCCTTTCTTCCTTTCCTTTCCTTTCTTCCTTTCCTTTCCTTTCTTCCTTTCCTTTCCTTTCTTCCTTTCCTTTCCTTTCTTCCTTTCCTTTCCTTTCTTCCTTTCCTTTCCTTTCTTCCTTTCCTTTCCTTTCTTCCTTTCCTTTCCTTTCTTCCTTTCCTTTCCTTTCTTCCTTTCCTTTCCTTTCTTCCTTTCCTTTCCTTTCTTCCTTTCCTTTCCTTTCTTCCTTTCCTTTCCTTTCTTCCTTTCCTTTCCTTTCTTCCTTTCCTTTCCTTTCTTCCTTTCCTTTCCTTTCTTCCTTTCCTTTCCTTTCTTCCTTTCCTTTCCTTTCTTCCTTTCCTTTCCTTTCTTCCTTTCCTTTCCTTTCTTCCTTTCCTTTCCTTTCTTCCTTTCCTTTCCTTTCTTCCTTTCCTTTCCTTTCTTCCTTTCCTTTCCTTTCTTCCTTTCCTTTCCTTTCTTCCTTTCCTTTCCTTTCTTCCTTTCCTTTCCTTTCTTCCTTTCCTTTCCTTTCTTCCTTTCCTTTCCTTTCTTCCTTTCCTTTCCTTTCTTCCTTTCCTTTCCTTTCTTCCTTTCCTTTCCTTTCTTCCTTTCCTTTCCTTTCTTCCTTTCCTTTCCTTTCTTCCTTTCCTTTCCTTTCTTCCTTTCCTTTCCTTTCTTCCTTTCCTTTCCTTTCTTCCTTTCCTTTCCTTTCTTCCTTTCCTTTCCTTTCTTCCTTTCCTTTCCTTTCTTCCTTTCCTTTCCTTTCTTCCTTTCCTTTCCTTTCTTCCTTTCCTTTCCTTTCTTCCTTTCCTTTCCTTTCTTCCTTTCCTTTCCTTTCTTCCTTTCCTTTCCTTTTTTCCTTTCCTTTCCTTTCCTTTCCTTTTTTCCTTTCCTTTCTTCCTTTCCTTTCCTTTCTTTTCCTTTCTTCCTTTCCTTTTCTCCTTTCCTTTTCTCCTTTCCTTTTCTCCTTTCCTTTCCTTTCCTTTTTTTCCTTTCCTTTTTTCCTTTCCTTTCCTTTCTTCTTTTACTTAAACAATTTAATTTCCTTCCTTCCTTCCTTCACTTAAACAATTTAATTTCCTTCCTTCTTTCCTTCCTTCTATCCTTTTGTTCTCTGTTTTCTTCTTTCCTTTTCCTGTCCACTGGCTGAAGATCTTAAAATGTTCACGCACCATCTCTAATTCCAAACTCTGATTTACGTTTCTTACATAAAACCAACAAGGCAGACATACTTACAGAGACAGCAGAAGACGAAGAGGAGGTTTTATCATTAGTGGATCGAAGGCTTTTTGCATTTCTAGAGGATGTTACACAAGGAATGTGTTGAAATGTCAATGTTTATGGTTATACAGTCATTTAGATATATCACAGAAAGCTGGAGCCAAACTGTTATTTGTACATTACTTTAACATAGAAATCACAGTTGTTTACAGTATTGCATGTGTTCTGGTGGATGAATAGACTGCCATTAAAGTGACATCCCAAGCAAATCCCAAGAACTCATGAATATGCCTGAATATTTATTACTTCATTTGCATTCAAACACTCACACACACACACAAATTATATGCCACACATACGTACACGTTACTGATTCTGGGCAGGGGTTCCTGTTGTTCATTAGTAGAAGAGATGCGTCTCTTCTCAAAGTATCACCTTTTGCTATCCTAGTTTTTTCTAAGGCTGCAGAGTCACAGGAACAGGGCAGTTAATGGACTGAACAGAGATGTAGATTTGTCTGTGGCCGCACGGTGCCAACTTTTTCATCCCCATGTAGTTGTTCTCTCTCTTTTTGTGTAGTTTGGGAGAACTGAAGTCATCGACAACACTCTGAACCCAGACTTTGTGAGAAAGTACATCCTGGACTATTTCTTCGAGGAGAAGCAGAATCTGCGCTTTGACATGTGAGTTATTCCCTTTGATGCTGACACACAGGAATCTGCCTCGCTCTCCGATGAGCTGTCCCACGCCGGTCTTTCTGCTCTCGCTCCGTTTGTCTCCCTCTCTCCCAGTGCATCCTTCTTGGTAATTATTGATGCTGCATCTCTCTTGACTGTCATGTTTAAGGGGCTGGATCAGTGAAAGGGTGATAAATATTTCAGATGAGTTTTATCCCCAATCTTCATGCAGCAGTTCAAACCCAAATGTGTGACGCGGGATCCCAGATGATTTACAACATGCTCTTCCCTTCCCGCGCCCGACTCCATCTCACTCTTATTCACCTTCTTAAATGGGCTCTGCTGAGTTGAAAAAGGCCTGCTGCACTGCACGCTGGACTTAATTGGAGAGTTCAGAGTGCTGTCAGTGAGAAACCTTCCACGTTTATGCCAATTCCTGCTTATACCAATGCAAATATTCACAGAGCCAATGAGCTGTGCCCCAGAACAGCACTTCCACTCAAATTTTAACAGCATCAAGAATTTAAATGCAGACTAAGGATGATCTGATTTTGATGATCTGTAATTTTTTTTACTAGTAGCGAAATGAAATTTAAAAAATTACAGTATCTTCTATTGTTTGGACAGAATTATCATGGCAACCAGATGTTTTGATTGTTAAAGTCACAAACTTTTCTTCTGTTATCGTGCCGTACATCCGAGAGTAACATATTATCATTATGACATTTATGACATTTTCATTAAATATTACGGGGTAATTTTTACAAAAAAGAAAAGAAAAGAAACATTCACAGATGAATTGTTCTCAATATCTATGACATGCATTTAGAAAATAGATGTGAATCGGGGAAATTTTCATTTCATGCTGACTTTAAGAAATGTTCTCTACAAGAAATCAAAATATTAGCTTTATGGATGACTTAGTTCATAGGAATCCCAGATCAAATAATGTGAGGATGGTTGAACATTCCTCTTCATAACACATAAAATGGAGATTTTTATTGTCACCCAAGAGAAAATGGGATATGCCATCATCTAACAATACCGACTGAAGCTGTTCTTTGGATTTCAGATATGACATTGACTCCAAAAGTCCTGATCTAGCCAAACACGTGAGTATATGGAAGCACTTTGTATGTGCTTTTTGTATGTATGTGCATGTGTGTTTGCTTGGGTGTATATGAAAGTTCTTTGTGTTCATTGGCGATTACACACACATTTTGATATGCATGATCTTCATTCTGCGGTTGGTTTTATGCAATCTAAAATGATTGAAACTGATGTCATATTTTGTATCATTATCAAAGCTGTGCAAAATTGAAGAAGAGGTGAGATTAAAATCTCTCTTTGACTCTCTTTGACTTTAGTACAAGAAAACAGGTTTTGAATGTATTCTACAGTGCGCTTAAAATGGGAAATACAGACCATTTGTTACCTGTTAAACTGATAAAAGGCAAGCTAAAAATATATAATGACAAGATATTGAGAGATATTTTCACTAAACACCTGCACCACTTTTTTCATTGTAAAAAAATTGTCTTTCTCTTTAGCAAAGTCATATTTTTTTCTATGCAAATTCTATGCAAAACTATTTTCTTGGCATGATTAATGAAAAATATAATTTATTATAAAATAATTATATACATAAATTCTTCATCTTCTTGTAGTACATAAAAGCTATATAAGTATTATAAAATAATTGCATAATTACTTGATTTGCATAAATATGTACAATAAAACAGGTACAAAAACTATGCAGACAGTGTGAAAATAAACAACTCTCAGTAGGGGCAAATTATAAAATTGTGATTTTGTATAGAACCACCCAAATGTTTTGTGTGTGTGTCTGTCTGTCTTCATTTTAATTTTTCAATGAAATTCAGACTTATGATTTGATTTTCTCGCTTTCTGTTGTAATCAGTGATCATCGTGGGTGTTTTTCCCTTTCTCTCTTCTCCAAGATCCTTTCTCATTCTCTAACTCTCGTTTTTTATTTTCTATCCTCTTTGGCCTGACTTCAATTCGTTTGTATTTTTTTTGTCTTTTCGGTTACATGATATGCTTTGTTGTTATTGTTATATTTGCGGCCTTGCCTCCCTACTGGAAGCCCTCCGAATTCAACGTACGTCTCTGCCTTGCACTCCTAGACTTTTCTCTTTACCTGTACAACTCATTTATACCCAGAGCCACCCTGACTCATTCTGCTCTCTCTTCTTTACTTCCTGTGTGCCTATCCCACTCCTCTGGGCTTTCTTTTTGTCTGGGCCACCCTTCTGAAGGACTTCCTGGGTCAGACCTTCTGCACTCTAGGTGAGATAGTGGGTTCACCAGGCAGTCATCTGGAAAAGCCTTTGGGGTAAGAAGCTAATGAACTGTTCTATGAGCCGGGCTTACATTCTCAATCAGATTGGGATGTATTCAAAGTTAGAGAAGCTGTATGGGCTCAGCAGCTGTACCTGAAGCCATCTCAGATAAATTACTGGCCATAGGAAACAGAGAAATTACTTTCTGCGCAGCTGTTTCTGCACCTTCATTCCTATTGAATGCCTATCTATCTACCCTGTAAAAATGGTTAAAGGTTTGTTTGACTAATGAGTCATCTTTTGCCAATTAAGTCATAAACATATGATTTTTCTTAATTAACTTTATAGTGTGATGCACACAGACCTTGTATAACCTTGGCCAAAAAGCTATCATGCACTTCAGTTGATCAGTTTAACCCATCTTTCTGTTCAGATCTTTCTGAAATGAGTGGTGTTCTGTTGTCGTTTAGAGTGTTATAGCTATGGAATAATGATGGATACTCCCATCTATCCCTCACCATCTGTGTTTTATATGTCAGTGTAGCAGATTAGGCTTGTCGGTGCAGGTTGCAAGCGTTAATGGAACACAACCAGAGACTTCCATTCTGCATTTATTGCTAAAGTATCCATCATGCAACCCTAGAGTTGGGGGGTTTCTTTACCTACTGGCCATGGTTTTTCTGAAAATAATCTCTTTAACTTTTAAAACACATTTATTTATTTATTTATTTAATTGATCCCCAAGTGTCATACAGTGAAAACACTTGCATCATTTCTACCTCATCTTAAATTACGTGTTGCGTTTTATAACATTCTGTGTTGGACATTTTAAATATTTGTGGGATAAAGTGGCTGATTCTTTTTTTTTTTCTTGCTAAGGCTAATTTCATGGTTAGCTTTCAGGTTTCCCTAAATATACCCAATTAAATTATACAATTATAATTTTACAATCACAGATTGATTCAAAAAAGTGATTTTTACTGTGTTTTTTCCATTATTTTCTCATATTTCACCTCAAACAAGCTCTTAAGATATTTAAGTAAACTACAATTTTATCTTTTTTTTCAAATTTGTTGGCTGTGGTGGAAAAGATGCATGAGAGACTGAGAGACAGTCGGAATTTGTGAAGAAAAAAAGAAGTGTGTGTGTGTGTGTGTGTGTATACTGTATATCTTGTGTAGTCATAGTTCTATCATGACAACTCGGAAAATTTTAGCATGGTAATGGATATGACAATGTTAATGTATTTGGTCTTGGTGGAATAGATCTGCTACGCTGCTGCTGTTGGTTATTGCTGTTGCAGTAGATTATTGCTGCTGCTGCAAAGCAAGTACAGGAACTTGCTAATGCCTATACATGCGGTGCTGTGAGTATTTAAGATATACTGCTGCTGCACAAATAGCGTATAAAATAACCCGTAGCAGATCTATACAGGTGGAGCTGGGGAAGGTGGAGGGTTTCAGAGGAACTCTGAAAGCGTGCCGTGAACTGCTCTAATGCTAGCCAGCCATTTAAATGTAAAGCAGCAAGTTACTTGGCTGCGAATGCAACATGAACCAATCAACTTGTGTCAAGTAGTTTAATGCTGTGAAAATCATCAGTTTGCGTTAAGGACCCATGTAGAGTTTCATGACATAACTTGACATTTACTTACATAAGAAACATACATTTCTTATTTTTAATTATAATCCACCCATAAAATGTAAAAAATGCTTCTAGTTGAAAAAACACACTGGTTTAGTCTACATTAAAGAGACACATTTTCCCTCGATGAGCTGGAACTGTTTTAAATCGGTGCTGCTTGGACACAATGCTAAGAGAATACATTAGAGCTGAATTTTAGGGGGCAGATGTAACGATTGCAGGGTTTAGTTAGCCTGTATATACAGTACACAACTGAGTGAGTGCTAGGGGTGGAGCAGACCCTATTGATCAACCTCAAACACCCACTCAATCTCATACTGCTCTGAGGTGTATGAATTGCTTTCATTTATGGCCATTATCTGTGCAGAAAGGAGGGTGTGATTGGAGGTATTTGGTTGTGGAGAAGAGATTGCCCAGTAATGATGAGCTGTTCTGCTCAAAATCTGTGGGAGTTTAAAAGCTTTAGGGGTGAATTTGAGCCCCTGATCTTTGTATAGTTTCCACAAACTGTTAAACTAGATGACAGATGACAGACAAAGAAGGGTGAGGGCTGTAACACAGAGGCTGCTTTTACACAGCAGCAGAAAACACTTGTCAGTCCTGTTTTAGAGAGCTAAATATGGTTGTGTTCGCACAGAATTCAGTTCGTTGTCAGAGTAACAACTGGTTTCTACAATGAAGTGACTGTCTTAAATTTTTAGGACTTGCAAACGGCAAAACAGAAGTCTGACAGCAGGTGCGTTGGATAGAATGAACGGTACTGCAGTCACTGCTTTCTGCAGTGTCACTGACATACAAAAAATATTTATTTTCTTCTGATAAGTGTCACTAAGTCTACACTAAGTGTCAGTTGAGTTTTTAGTTTACCAAATGTTCCTTTTGCAAATTCCTTGTGTAAAAAGCAGTGAAAGGCAAAGTTTATCACACCAAATATTGATTTGATTAGTTCATAGCAACTTAATAGAACACAGTATTGTACATATGACATGGGGCACACATATATTGCTGTGGATCTGATAATGTTAGGGCTGTCAACCTTTGAAAAATGCTTATGAGAAATTGATTTTTTTTTTATTATTGTAGATAACTTGACTACTTAAATTTGTAAGGGAATTAATTATTATTAATTAATTCAGGTTTTGATAGGACTCGGGTCTGAATCCCCGAAGTTCACCTGATTAAACCGATTTCCAATTTGTTATGTTACACTTTAAATCAAGGGTCGTCCAGTGAGCCGTGACCTCAGTATATTTTAACAAATTGACTATGTATTCTCCTGGCCACGGATAAATACGTTCTTTGATAATTTGTAAGCTCTTAGAGAGGTAACGTTGATCTTGGCAAAAGTTTTGACCTGGAAATTATATGACACCAAACCAAAGATTCTTTATAAATGAAACATGAATTTTATTGGCTACTCTAGAATACATCAAAACTACGCTAAAACACACATACACACACACAGATTATTAGAATGAGAGTTGACGAAGTTCTTAGAAGTTTGAAACTTCATAACACTCGTTTTCACGAGTGGCTTAAATTCACCTGAGAGAATTCACAAAGCAGAGAATTTTAGCTTATGTTTACTGCTTAAAGTACCCAGAATATTGGAGTCATGTGCTGGGATGATTAGCAAACCTCCTGATGGCTGATAGGAGCATAGCAGTGACCGTTCATGTACTAGAAATCCCTACATTATTATCTGGTTTTGGGAAGTCAGAGTGGATAAAAAAAACTGGAGTTTGCCAAAATAGTTTATAATAAAAAAATAAATGTGCAATACAAAATCTATAGTTGTTCTTCGCTGTGGTTATAGGCATTATTCAAGGCTATCTCAAGATTTTTTTCTCCTAAATAATATTCAAAATTAGAATGAGTTTTTCCCAAGTAATGTTGAAATGAATATCCCAGAAATACCCAGATGGTCTACTATTTTCGGTGAAAATTCGAAGTGCAGATAGCTCTAGTGGCTAATATTGCCCACAACCCACTGTACTTTGGAAAATTGGATGATTCGGTTGAGAACTACAAACACAAACAGAAAAACCACAAACAGGGCAGATGTGTGAGACCAGTGGTTAAGAGAGAGTTTTAGGTGAACCGGATTTAGTGATTAATAATATCTTTTAACTTGATGAAAAATTGCATCTGCAAAAATATTGTGAACTTTTATAAAGATAGCTGAGCCATTAACTTTCAAATGCATTATTATACAAGAACACAAGGAAAGTTCTTCACATGGAGGACCCCCAACTGGCAGATCAACATGCTGTTTTTTTCTGTTCAATCTGGTAAGAATAGTTGACTTGAGTAAATTACATGAACTGAAATGTGGAGTGTGTATAAGAGGATATTAACTGTGATAAGTTGTTTGACTGGCCATGTAACTATGCAACAGAGTGGTCCATTAATGGCACAAATGTGATGTGGTAGTATGTCCCGAAAATTGTGTACTCTTCTGCTGTACACTCTAAAATGCTCATTCTCTTCACCAAAAGAGTATGCACTTTTATGGCATAGTATAAGTAGTTGAACTGAAATGCAGCAGTTGACTTTGGTTTAATTTATTTCAGTAGAAAACATAAGGAAGGAGAGAGCAACTGAAGCAAAGTAACTTTGTACTTTGTGTGCAATTAAGGAATCAAAAAATACCAAAATGGTGTAAAATGCCTGAGTGCAGGATGACCTGCTTTTGAACAGCCTGTCATCTTTATTACACACAAACTCTCTAATATTGTCCTCTTTCCACACCTCAATAATTCCCCATAGCCATGGAGCTGTCTTTGTGTATCTATTGCAGGAAACAGACTATAGCTTTCCCTCCATTCATCCTGTGCATCTGATATAGATGCAGTCATCTCTTGAAATTTATCCGTTGTGTTGGAAAAAGTAAATCAGACACTACACACTTGGCAGCTGAATACAGAGAATCGTATGTTTGGCAATAAACAGGGTGTAAGGAGAATTCAGTTGTGGGCTAAACTGCTTTAAAAACACTGCAAAACTAGTCTTATTGGATTTGAATTTCAGCAATGTTAATTCATCATCTCCCCTTCACTGGCTGTGTGCCAAAAGAACACAAAACATTGCCCAGCTTTAGATTCAATTAGAGTTGTCTAGTGTTCATATAGGGGATATAGAAGGGAAGTAACATAAGCCTTATTGAATACAGTGCATTTGGCCCATCTGTGCCTTAAAAGCTGTGCCTTTAGTGATGCTGGTTTAATCAGATTGACCCCACTGTAAGGCGATTTATCTTATTAGTTATTTACAACTATATACAGTATATATAAAATTGTTATTTATTTGTATTTAATAAGAAAAAAGTTTCTCATTTCAGCTTATTATGCATTTTCATTGTATGGTAAAGGTCAGCTTAGACATTTGTTTTTTGGTGCCCCACTCAGTT